ATGCTGCAATAAACATGGGAGTGCAGATATTTCTTCAATGTATTAATTTCCTTTCTCTTGGATGCATACCCACAAGAATTGCTGGCTCATATTGTAGTTCCAGTTTTACTTTTTTAAGAAACCCCTGTTCTGTTCTCCATAGTGGCTATACTAACTTGCATTCCCAAGCAACACTGTACCAGGGTTCCCCTTTGACATCACTTTATCACCAGTATCTGGTTTTGCCTGTCTTTTTTATACAAGCCATTTTAACTGGAGTGAGAATATCTCACTGTGGTTTTGATTTGCATTTTTCTAATGATTAGTGATGTTGTACATGTTTTCACATACCCATTAGCCATTCGTATGTCTTCTTTTGAGAAATATCTGTTGAGATATTTTGCCAATTTTGAAATTAGATTATTTGTTAGGATTTTGTTTTGTTTCATTTGTTTTGTTGCTACTGAGTTGTTTCAGCTACTTATATATTCTGATTATTAATCCCTTGTCAGATAGATAGTTTGCAAATGTTTTCTCTCATTTATATGGGTTCTCTCTACTTGTTGATATTTTCTTTGCTGTGCAGAAGCTTTTTAGCTTGATGTAATCCCATTTGTCTATTTTTGTTTTAGTTGCCTATGCTTTTTAGTTCTTACACAAAAAAGTCTTTGCCCAGACCAATGTCTTAGAGCATTTCCCCAGTGTTTTCATCCAGTAATTTGATAATTTCAGGTCTATAATTCATTTTGATTTGGTTTTTGTGTATTGTGAGATAAAGGTCTAATTTTATTCTTCTGCATGTAGTTATTCAGTTTTCCCAGCACCATTTATTGAAAAGACTTTTTTTTTCCATTGTATGTTCTTTGGACCTTTGTCACAGATGAGTTGATTGGAAGTGCATGGATTTATATGTGGATTTTCTATTCTGTTCCATTGGTCTATATGTCTGTTCCTCTGCCAGTACTGTGCTGTTTTGGTTACTATATCTTTGTAGTAAATTTTGAAATTAGGTAGTATGATGCCTCCAGCTTTGTTCTTTTTGCTCAGGATTACTTTGGCTATTCAGGGTCTTTTGTGATTTCATATGAATTTGAGGATTTTTTTCTATTTCAGTGAAGAATGTCATTGGTATTTTGATAGGAGTTGCATTGAATCTACAAACTGCTTTAGGCAGTATTCTCATTTTAACAATATTAGTTCTTCCAATCCATCATCATGGAATATCTTTCTGGGTTTTTATGTCCTCTTCAATCTCTTTTATCAGAGTTTTATAGTTTTTCTTGTATAGATATTTTACTTTTTTAGTTAAATTTATTCTGAAGTATTGTATATTTTTTTGTAGTTATTGTAAAAGGAACTGATTTCTTGATTTTTATTTAGATTTTTCACTGCTGGCATATACAAATGCTATTAATTTTTGTATGTTGATTTTGCATCCTGAAACTTTATTGAATCAGATCTAACAGTTTCTAGGTGGCTTCTTGAGATTTTTCTAGGTATAAGATCAGGTAGTCTGCAAACAAATCTAACTTGACTTCTTCTTTTCCAATTTAGATACAATTCCTTTCTTCCTCTTGCCCGATTGCTCTGGCCAGGACTTCCAGTCCCAGGTAGAATAACAGTGGTGAGACGTGGGTATCATTGTCTGTTCCAGTCCTTAGAGGAAAGGACTTCAATTTTTCCGTGTTCAGTATAATGTTGACTGTAGGTCTGTCATATACGGCCTTTTTTATTTTGAAGTATGTTCCTTCTATATCCATTTCAGTGAGGACTTTTATCATAAAGGAATGTTGAATTTTTTCAAATGCTGTTTCAGCATCTATTGAAATAATCATACTGCTTTTGTGTTTGATTCTATTAATGATTTATGATATTTAGATGGCATTTAAAGACATAGGAAATGGGTTAGATCTCCTAAAGAGGGAAGATGGAAAGAGAATGAAAGAGGTTCCAGAAGACAACCTTGAGGATTTCTAGCACTTATGGTGGAGGGAATCAGAGGAGACTCAGAGTGGCCAGATTGAAAGAAAAGAAAAAGCTTAATAAGGTGATATCATGAGAAGAGAGTCTTTCTAGAAGAAGAGATGCTTACTTTTGATAACAACTGAAAAATAGGGTGAGTCCACATTAGAAACCTCTCTACCAGGAAAGACTTTCTACACAAGGTTAAAGATTATTTGTATTTTGTCTACTATAATTTTAGTTCATAATGCATATTCTGGCATGTAGTGGGCACTTGATATGTATTAATCTAATGACATGTAATAATTTAGTGCCCAAATACTTATGTCTAGATGAGAGCTAGGAAGAGGCATGAGTCTTTCTTAAATGTCCTGCCCTTCTCCTTCTTCCATCCCCTCACTTGTCTTCAGAAGCATTGATTAGAGATACCAATATCTTCAGTTTTTTTTCAAAGCAACATGAAACACACTTTATTCCTGCTGACAGTAGGAAAAGCAAGCTTTTTTCTAAGCCCTGGAGGAAGGAAATTCTGCTAACATAGCATGTGGGATAATGTAGGGTGGCTATTTCTTGAAAGGTAGTGAATCATAACTATAACCATAACTATGGAAAAAAGTCCTGCCTTATCAACCACCCCACTGACTTTAGTCACCAAAACTATGCTATGAAATGAATTGTGTTGAGTGGCTTTCAATGTAAAAGATTTTGGTGAAGGGAGGGGAAGAAACTAGTAGGGATTCGAATCAGAAGATGTGGTTTTGACAGTTTCTGAAGGGTGTCAGAGTGGCTTTAATATACTTGCCTCCTTGGCCTCAACTGGAGGTTTTGCAGCCGCAAACAAGAATAATTGCATAGTTCAGAATAACAACAATGTGAGCTAATCATGGAACTGGGTTAAAATAAGCAAGTAGATCTACTAAGAAACACACTCAGCACTACTGTAGAAAGAAACAGAACAGAACTATTCACCATGGGCCTTGGTTGGTAGCTTTCTGGAAGCCATTTCATTTTTACAATAGATTTATCACACACCGTATCGATTTTTTACTGCAAAGAGTAAGGGAAAGTTAATATTCCTCATGTTTTGTCTGTTGACAAAGTGAAAATAATTGCATTGGCTTTGGCTGGAATATCCTATCATTTCACAAACATCTCAAACTCCACATGGCTAAAACTTAGCCCATCAATGCCCCCATCTGCATGCATGAGTACCTGCATATAATCTCATTTCTCTGTGTTTTTTTTTACTCCATGAATGGTAGCACCAAACACCGAATCCCCAAATCCAAAACAGCCCTGGGAATTTTCAACAATTATGGTGGAGGAAAAGAAGCCAGCAGAAGAGACTCAGAGCCCCCAGATAGGAGTGGAAGAGAAAAACATTGAACCAGGTGATGTCCTGAGAAGAGAGTCTTTCAAGAAAGAGAAATACTTCTCCTTGGGCTTCGTCCCGAGTCCTTCATCTCAGCCACACATTCCTATTTATCAGTATTATTACCAAGCTCTTTGGAGTTCTGACTCTCAGAATCTTGTATCTATTTTTTTCCTTCCTGCCGCTTCCTAGTCCGGCGTTATCCTCTCTCTACTTATTACGGCAGGGACTTCCAAAATTAGGTTTTCTGTGTTCAGTCTTGTGTTCACACTTCCGAAAACCAGAGCTGACCAAGGCAAATCCTTCAACAACTTCCTGTCAGGCCCAGCATAGATTAAAATTTCCTAACCTGGCTTATGAGGTTCCCCATGTGTCCCTGCTTCCCTAAGTTAGCCTCATATCACACCAACCTGTGTGTGGGGGGAGCTAAATACTCTAGCCAGGCAAGTGTTCTCAATTCCCCTACTTGGCCCCGCAGGAGCCCTCCTTATTGCTCATCCTGTTCTAGCCTGATTCAAGCCTCCTGGTCCTTCGAATCTCTCTTTAAGTGCCCTCACCTGGAACTTTCTCTAGTTAGTACACATTTTTCTGCCTACCATCGGAGCGAATATTTTCTGAAGGTTTGTGTCAGTCCTGCCTTGCTGTTGGTGGAATCCCGCGGGACTAGCCAAGTGCCTCCTCCATGAATGTGCTGAATAAATGAATAAGCATTTTAATTATGTATCTGCCATTACAGTGTCAGATATGTTATTCCAGAATGGTTTTAGCACACAGACACACCCTTGGAAGCAGACTTTTCCTTTTTTTTTTTTTTTTCTTTTTACATATAGCAACAATCAAAAACTAGACCTTCATCTCCTGAAAATATCAGTCTAATAATTATCTATGGCTGTCTCTCTGGTTGCTGAAGGAAAGAAGGAAAAAAAAAAAAAAAAAAAAAAAAAAAAAAAAAAAGCAGGGCATACCCGGATTGCATTAGAATGAGACACATTACCCAGTTCAGGTGTGCTGGGTCGTGGGCCTCCAGCACACTTCAGAGGCTCATTAGGACCTGACCCCACACAGGGGTTTACACTCCGAACAGCAGGTGTGTCCCGTGGCAGCTGAGTGGGTTTGTGAAAAGTGGGATCATCAAGAACCAGTTGGAGCAATCCGAATTGTTTAAAGTGAATCAAGTCACAGCGCTTCCTTATCCCAACCTCTCTGTTGGGGTCAGCCACGGCGTAAACCACCTGCCGTTCAGCCGGAGCGGCTGCTGCTCGCGCGCTCACGCACTCAGCCCGGGCTGCAGAGGAAGTGTGGGGAGGAAGGAAGTGGGCATACAAGGGTGCCGAGCTGTGGGTCTTGAAGAGAATAACCATAACGTCTTTGTCACTAAAAATGTTCCCCAGGGGCCTTCGGCGAGTTTTTTTGGTTTTTTAAATTTTAATTTGTGACTTTTGATAATTTCTCCAGTGGTTGCCTACACGTGAAAACGACACAGTGCTGAATTATCGACGAAAGAACTGGACGGCTCCCCGCCGCAGACCCAGTCCCCGAGTTTGCGGCTGGCATTTGGGCCACGCCGGGCTGGCCGCAGAGGCTGGGCGGTCACAGCGAGGGGCGCGCGGTTTGGGGCCACACAGCTTCTAGGCCCCAACTACTCTTAAAAGGGGAAGCCCCGTGCCCCATCCAGGTCCGTTCTTGGAGAGCCGGGAGCCATCCCGCGACCTGCGGGCTGGGAGGCCCGGGACGGGGTCGCGCGTCCTGCGCTGCCGAGGTCCCCCAGCGCCACCTGCAGCCGCGCGTCGGGGGAGACGGAGCCCGGCCCTGCGTCTCCGCACCACGCCCGGGACCCCACCCAGCTGCCCTTGCCCGGAGAAGAAGCGCGAGCACCCGCAGCTCCGGGCCGGCGGCAGAAACTGAGCGTTGGGCCCGGCGGGTGCACGGCGTCCCAGGCCGGCGGGATTGCTCTGCTTGCAGCGAGCCAACTTCCCCTCCTGTTCCCTCCCTCCCTCCCTCCTTCCTCTCCTCTCGCCAGCGGGCGCGGGACACGCTGCGCCTCATCTCTTGGGGCGCTCTTCCTTATTAGCCAATCGTCGCATCCCGTGCAACTTTGGGGCAGTGGCCATTTAGTGTTGAATGTTCCTCACCGAGAGCGCATGGCTTGGGAAGCCAGGCTCGGACCCTGCCCCCGAAGGGCCGCTGTCAGGGAGACAGTGATGCTGTTGCTGTGCCTGGGGGTCCCGACCGGCCACCCCTACAACGTGGACACTGAGAGCGCACTGCTTTACCAGGGCCCCCACAACACGCTGTTCGGCTACTCGGTCGTGCTGCACAGCCACGGGGCGAACCGGTGGTGAGTAGAGTCGTAGCGGCGCGCTCTTGGCAGCTCAGAGCGGCGCGAGAGCCGAGCTCCAGGGATTCCCTGCCCTGTTCAAACTTTCCTCCCTTCCAAGGAGGCAGGAGGGAAACGCTGCGAGAGCCAGCTTGCTGGAGAACTGCCAGGGAAAATAACTTATCCTGAGGTGTCAGCGACCCGGGTGCGTTCTGGTGCAAGGTCCTGGAGCTTCTAGTAGCGGGTGGTGGGCGGAGGAGGAGGTGGGGAAGCTGCCCCGCTGCCGACTGCACATCTGTTGCGACTTGGAGCTCAATGGGCAGCAGAGCTCACGTCTGAGCGCACGTGCACGTGTCTTGCTTTAGGCTCATAGTGGGTGCGCCCACTGCCAACTGGCTCGCCAATGCTTCAGTGATCCATCCCGGGGCGATTTACAGATGCAAGATCGGGAAGAATCCCGGCCGGACGTGCGAGCAGCTCCAGCTGGGTGAGTTGGATGTGGGACCAGGAGTTAGTGACCTCCCGATCCCCTGTGTGGAGCCCATCATAGGGCAAGTCCTGGAAAAATTCAAGTCGCCTGTTACTTGTAGTTTAAAGCGTGTAAGTTTTCAGTTTTAACTCCGTATCTCATCTTCCCTTCGTAATATAAAAGAGATTCCCTTCTTTCTGTTAATATCGTTCTCCCTTTTCCTTATGGCAACGATTGCAGTACTCTGACAAAACTATTCTAGAAAAAAATTTCTTATGTTACCTTCTCTTCATCTCTCCCCCTGTCTTGCCATGTGTAAAGCACATTTTAGAGTCTCTCAGCATATTAAAGACAGGATCTAGCTAAGCCAAGACTTGAGAATTTTATTTCCATCTTTGACCTATCAACCTTCTTAAAGAACAGGCTAAGGGGCATAGCGGGCTAGCAATTGGAATAGATCCCATATCCCGTCGTTTAACCTAAGGGCCTAAAAAAAAGTGATACTTAGAATATGCAGTGTAAAAGAAAATGTAAGGAAAATTGTCATCTCCGTTGTTAATATAGTTAACCTGAAGCTTAACATATAATTTTCTATTCCCCAAACTGTCATCCAAAACTCATGTTAAATGGATCTTTTTGCAGTCACTTCCTAATGTCTCAGATCTGTGAAAAGTTGAAAATTTTGTCCTGTTGGAGGAGGGGAGAACTTTCATGTTTCAAAGCCAAAGGCACATTTGTTGCACACAGGCAAGTGGGGAAAGAAAGAGGAACTGATATTCAATAACAAGACCTATCTTGTTCCAAAGTGTTAGTTACTGCTATACTTATTGCTTAATTTGTTTCCCCTCAAAACAACCCTGGGTCATGGTTGACATTGTTCCTGGTTTATGTATGAGGACTGCGGCTCAGAGTTGCACATATCTTTTTAAAAGTTAGCTAGTGAGTGGTAGGTGGGAACTAAAAGGATGGGTCCAAAGTCTAAGCCATTTTCTTCCATTTATGTATCTTCACTGCAAATAAAAGTAGATGAACGGTCTAATATGTTATCTGCAGAGCTGATGGGTCATCTGTAAATGGTGAACAAAACTGGTACTTTATATTTATCTTCCGTATAGACTTTGCGATTAGCTAGTTATTGGATCTTTAACTTCTTTTGCATTTCATAATAGTCTTTGCTCTTTTTCAAACTGTGAAGCTGGTTCCCTTCAGTCAAATGAATTCAAATAGAGTATAAACATAATGAAATTGTAACTTTCAATTCAGAGCACTCATAAAAGTCCACAAGTTGTCTGTTGCATGTAGAGCCTCTTGTTAAGCATCCCCAATCTCAAAAATCACAGTAGGAATGCTTAAAATAGTCACAGATCCATATATCTGGAATAATTTTGCAAAGCATAAATTTTATTTCATGAGAGAGTTGTGGGTGAAGAATTAGGGAGTGGAGCCTTAGTCTGCCAGAGGATCTTGGCAAGGTCTCAGGAGGAAACAATTTTATTTTGGTTGTCCTGTCATAGTTTCCTGATCCATGACATTTTAACTGATATTTAGTGCCTACTTCCTGTCTGGATGGACACTGAATCTATTTCTGGATGTCTGTGTTTAATTGGATAAATCATGTCATAATATAAAATTTAAGATAATGCCTGCTGAGGGAATGAAAAATTATTTGGGCGTGTGTCATATGGGGGTTGACTGTTCTCAGAGGAATGTGAACATGGTAGATATGTAATAGACATGAATTAAATGAAGATTTGTTGGATGGATGAATGAATAAAGTGACGAGAAAGTTTATCAACCTGATTGATGAGTAAGATAATTGATTAGAAATGATGAGCTGAACTGATATTTTTAATTCTCAAAATTCAGGCCAATCCATAAGGTACTTACTGAGATGAAAAAAATAAAAGATTCCTAGTCAATGAGTTAGAACATTTATGGTGGTAGTAATAGCCTTGAGTATTTGTCGAAGAGTTGACTAAAGTTATTTCTCATGTAAAGTTCTAAAGAATACACAAATATTTTATTCCTTATGTAAAGAAACCATCTCTATTCAAAATAAATCCAGAGGTAGCTTAAAGCTATAAAATAGGGATATTGAGGCTACAGTCTAGAAATAAAACACTGAAAACAATACATCGGTAATATATTTTAGGATTCTTAGGTTTGTGGTCTGTGCACTAGTTTTGTATGAAGAAGTTTCAAGAGTGTGTGTAAATATAGATAAGCCATTTTCTATAGGAGAGAGAGTGTGTGTGTATCTTCTGTATAAAATAGCTTCATTTATCCTGTTTCAAATGTGAGTGATTCCAGTGTTTGAAAAATGCTTAGTTCGGTAATGACACAGACATTTAAAAAGCAGTTCTTATCTCTGTTGTTTACTTAAATCTATTATTTGTATGTTATCTGTAATAAGGAGGTTGAGGTTAATAGAGACAGTAAACTGAACCAGAAGTTTAAAAGTTATTAGAAGATAATACATTAAAAAGTAGAAGTTGAAATGAAACACAATGAAAAATTTTGTTGACTGAAGAAAAAAGTCTTAATGACTAAAGATTAATCTATGATTGCCATGTCACTAAGATATTTTCTTTCCTTTGGAATAGCTTTACTTGCTATCAAGAATCTGAAGGTGTGGGGTCTTCAAATGGTGTCCATCTCACATGCAATTAAAAATATCCACATGGACTAATCTTTGAGTCTCTGTAGCATTTCATATCAACTGTTGATTCAGATAGACTCCTCCCCTCAAAAGAGGAGGTCCTTATCTCCCCGACCCTACCCTCTGGATAAGTTGTCCCATACCATGGTATATTCAAGCCATAAGCAGAAGTGAGCATGCTCGTTTATCTAGAATGCTCAGGGTAAGAGATGTTAGGCATGAGATACTCCTTTTAGTCAAGTGAATTGACTGCAGAGCTGGCATTGAGAGAGTTGCCTGGATAGTACTGCAAGGTGCTTTTCTTCCTGCTTATGTATTACTGACCGCCTTCTACCTCCCTGACTCTTCTCTCACTTCCCATGAGACATGAGACATCTCTTCTCTCGCTTCCTTTGTACCAGAGGAAGGTAGTCTTTTCTGTCAGGTGGGTCTGGGCTCAGACTTGCTCATGAAGACTGTGTCTCAGAAGATCCAGGTGATTTCCACATATCCATTTTCCACTGGGGTACTCTGCATCCTTAAGCTTGTTTTAAGGAAACTTTCATCACAGCTGGTTCCTAAATTAGGGTGTCACAAATAATGACTCAAGATAGTTAACTTAGTCCATCCATGGACTGTCAATATTCAAAGAATTAGAACATAATAAAATATAGAAACGATTATCAAATTACACTAAAAATGTGGTCTTTATTTGGTTATTCAGATAACATTGCAGATCTTTCATTACTTTGGAGTTACCACTGAAAGCATTATGCACACACTGACACTCATTTGGGCAATAGTATACAGTTGCACAATTACACCATCTAGTATAGTATCCACTAACCACAGGTGGCTTTGAACAGATAAAATGTGGCTAGTCAGCAATGAGAGGGCTGTAATGTAAATTACATACTGGCTTTCAAATACTTAGCATAAGAAAACTCGTTAGTTTTTATATTATATATTGAAATAAACATTTTAAAATTAATGTTGATTACATAATGAAATATGTTGGCTTTATTAGGTTAAAGTATGAAATTAAATATTTTTTACTTTTTTAATGCTACTACTACAAAATTTAAATTTTCCTATACGCTTGTATTATATTTCAATTGGACAGTACTGCTGTAGAGAAAGTTCCCTGTGTAAAATAACACTAACTTTTTAGCACATGCTTTCCTGGCATTTATGCATAAATGAGCAGAACTTTCACTTTCCTTTCTAGACTAAGTGTTCTATAGTTACTGAGCCTTCAAGCTGCCTGCCTGTGCCTCTTTTTCTTATGGGAAAGACCCATCTCAAGTTAGTCACCATTATCCATATTTAGATTTCTTTCTAGAAATTATATTACCTTAGCCAGCCTCCTGGTTCATATTACATAACCTGTTTGAAAAAATTTAGTGTTGCATCATTAAACTAATGATTACCTAAGCCTCACTTCTATGTGATTCATAGGAGTTATTAGGTTAACATTGAATAGCAAATATCTCACTGCTGAAACTTCAAATATGTTTTTTTCTTAACAGCTTTTTTACTTTTGCTTTTTCAATATGCTTTAAATTGTAACTTATGATGCTGGAATTCATGCAGATTGGTCATTTTGAAAAATCACCCCTGAATGAAGCCTATTATACAATTATGCAGAAAATCAAGACAGAGAGCTTCATTAATAAACTATCAGGTTACCAGAAAGAAGCTTCCTTATTTCCAGCAGTTTTCCAAACTTCATCTCCAAAAGGATGACATATCCACCCAATTTGAGAGATGAGGATTTCTATGCACTTTATTATTATTATTGTTGTTATTATTATTATTTGCCTTAAGTTTACTTGGTCACTGAGTGATATACCTAATAACTTAAAAATATATCCCCTTGGCAACAGTTCTAGGGCCAGATGTGGAAATCCATTGCACATGTGGGCAATTTATCCATTCAATTGTTGATTGAGGTATGCCTAAGGGCCAGAATGTGGGCACACAAATACTCCTCTCCCAAGGCTTCACAGTCTATAGGAGAGGTTATTATAGGAAAGCACGGTGAGATTTAATATAGGGTAAGACAATAAGATAATGCATTCCTGAGGAACTGGTGTTCAAGTGAGGGAACTGAAAAATTATCAGAAGTTAACCAGAGGAAGAAGCTATGGAAAAGCTTGCCAGACAGAACAAACTATGTGTATAAAGCCCCTGAAGTCTTTGAGAGCAAGATCCCCTTTGAAGAACTGAGAGAAGTGTATACAATTGCACTATGGAGTGTGAACTAAACTGTAGGTTAGAGAGGCAGGCAGGGATTATTTTTGGTACAACTCTAAGTATGAATTTACCCTAGGATATTTAAAACTGGGAAATAATATCAGATTTGTATGTTTGACAGATT